GAATTGTTGCATCAGAAGCCACGGATGCAAAAGCATTTTTCCAGAGCACATATTTTCTACCAAAAGATCTCTGTCTCATCTTCATGCGTGAAACATGACGATTTGTAGCTACAGTATTTACATAACCAGTGTTAAAGGTATAGTTCACCCAAAAATGCACATTCTGTCATCAATTACTCTCAAGTTGTTCCAAACCTGTATGTATTTCTTTATTCTGCTGTTGGGTAACCAAACAGTTATTAGTGCCCATTGACTTCCATAGCATTTTTTAGCTTTTTTTCATATTATGGAAGTCAGTAACTATTTGGTTTCCAAAATGATTCAAAATATCTTCTTTTATGCTCAGCGGAATAAAGAAACTGTTGTTTGGAACAACTTGAGGGTGAGTAAATGATGACAGAATGTGCATTTTAATCCAGTGGAGAAACTGACCGTGTAAATTTCTTGCTGCTGTAGGCCTAATAATTTGATTGCAGTCATCATTCATCAAGTATTTAGGTACTATGATCAAAGAGAAACTGTGGTTTTTGCACATTTAAGGCTACACAGCCTTTGTCTCCAAAGCAAATCATTCATCCAAGAAGCATGTCTGTTGGGAGGGGGAAGTCAGACAGGACATGAACATGTTTTAATTAGTAAAGATACTGTACATTATTGTTTCTCCTCTATGCCCCACCTTTCTGAAATGCGTAGATTTTTACAAAGCTCATCGGTCTAAAAAGCAAGGTGTGCTGTGATTGGCCAGCTATCCAGTGCGTTATGATTGGCCGAATACCTCAAGCGTGTGACGGAAATGTTACACCCCTCACCATACTGTTTGTATTAAATGATTAATTTAAATGTAAGTATATAGGAGTTAAAGCCACTTAATAGGAAGCGGGACCGGATTTTTAGATATTAGCATCAAAACACTCATAGTGAAGATAAAATTCATAAAAACGCCATTAGATAGAGGGATGTATAGACTGAACTACTGAACTGAATTTTTATAGTCAAGGAGAACATTTAACTGGACTTGATGTTGGCTATTTAAAATGTAGCAGCTAAAGCAAAAAAAAACAACAACAGTAACAACAAAAACAACAAAAAGTGAATTGAATCTCAATCACCTGCTATTTTTGTAGCGGTTTCACTAACTTAATGCTTAATAGGAAGCGGGACCGGATTTTTAGATATTAGCATCAAAACACTCATAGTGAAGATAAAATTCATAAAAACGCCATTAGATAGAGGGATGTATAGACTGAACTACTGAACTGAATTTTTATAGTCAAGGAGAACCTTTAACTGGACTTGATGTTGGCTATTTAAAATGTAGCAGCTAAAGCAAAAAAAAAAAAAACAGTAACAACAAAAACAACAAAAAGTGAATTGAATCTCAATCACCTGTCTATTTAGGAAATGTCATCTTGTGAAATTTCCATATCAGTCCCCAAGAAAGAATGAGTATGCTGATATACAACATATTGGTTTAGAATCATTTTAACGCTACAATATATTCATTAATAAAAAGTGAGTTTTAACTTTTTGTTTTATTCCCAAAGTTATTTATTTATTTATTTATTTATTTTTAGGAAAAACAATATAATAAACAATTTTTACTTGAAAAGCTGAACTGGGAAAAACGCTGCATTTCTTATACACTGAGTTATGTTGCTCACTACCAGTCTTATGTCTATGGTGTCATTGAAATATTTATATGCCTAATACGGCAGGAAAATACAGTACATGCATTCATAGAGTGTCAGCAATGTTTCAGGGACGTGTAACAGAGATCTTTCCGTCATGAAATCATCAGGCTGAGTCTCTAGTACATTACTGCTACAGAAAGCCCAGAAATGAACATAACAAAACTTGAACTAGAACTCAAAATGTAACTGTTAATTTGGCTGTGAAAAACATCACCTTTTACGAAAATTAAATGGACTGAAAAACATCCATCAGTGACACCGATCTTTTACTTTCATCCTCATTCAGCGAACATTCGCGACATTTCTTTTCTTTTCTGTTTCCACTAACAACAGTGCAGAACTAGAAAAACCACATTTTACAAGCTTGCGCGAGTGTATGTTCCACCTTGACCAACGATCCTGTGCCATAAAAGAGTACTTATATACATATTTGCATTGCATGCTTAAATCCTTGATTAGACTGTAAATTAAGATTTTGACATTTAGATCGATCATTCGATCATTCATGTATGTATATGCATGTATGCATTTATTTAGCCTATTTTAGTAGTTGTTATTGTTGTGTTAATGTTATTAACAGAGAGCAAAATGGAGTCGGATATGCTACTTGTCGTTCAGTGACATTTTGTTGTGATTACTGTATCGTTTGCACAATAACATTCGGAATTTGGAAAATATGGTTTAGGAAACTCTATCATAATGGTCGTGGATAAATGTTTGAACCGACACTGTCAGTTAATATTGATAATATATTGATAGGCGATTTGTATCAGTATTACTTACTGATTGCTCAACAAGACAGGTTCCATCGATACAATTTTAAACACAATTTTCTTTTCTCACTAATGTTTGGCTCCGAGGAGGCATCCAAGATAACGTGATCGATGTTTAGGTCACAATTCATTTTGGCATAATATCTGGCATATATAAAACATGTTGCTGTATCAATTAGTAACCGCTTCAAACAAATATCACACCGATATTGATGTACGGTGATGTAGGCCTATCTTCTCTTTCTGTTCACTTGGTGCCAAGGTACCAATCTTCCTTTCTTTTCTTTTAATTTTCACACAACTGAAATGACAGTTGTTTGTCATTGTGACATTATGGCCTATAACGGTTTGTGTGTTTAAAATATTTGCAGTTTATCTCCCCCCGGAAATATTTAAAGTTATTTTCTCAGCAATTCATTCCTAATTGAGTAAATACAATTTTGAGATTAGCCTATGTATTTTTATATAGTCTCCGTTTTCCCTGTGCACGTTTCTAGTCTAGTTAATTCCAGTGTCCACGAATCAAGAGGTGCTCTTTACTCCTCCACGGTGACGGGGACATACCACTCCAGCGCTGGCGAGAGCCCTTTGGGTGTCAGAGAAGAAGTCATGACAAACTAAGACTTTTTTGCAACTTCGTGTTAATGATTTATTTAGTTAATAGGATATATTATTTAATTTTTATGTTTTTATGCATTTTTTAAAAACTATTTTAAATAATCGGTTAACATTTTTTACAAAAAAGTAGACGTATAAAATAAAGTATTATGATTTTAAAGCCATAACGTTTAGGCTACATGAAGTGTAGCTGTAGTTGTATTACAGTTAGCTGTCATTTCACCGTAGACCTGCAGGTGATTGCAAGAAACTGAGCTTACCATGCACCTAAAACTCTAGGATTGCTACAGAGAGCGCTCGTAGATCTACAACGATTTTCAAGTAGGACTCCTGCTTACAGTTTAACCATGATTTCGGGAAAAATTGTATAAGGTGATTGCAATTATTGTTTCTACTATCTGCTTTGGCTTATGATGCTTTTGAGAAATGTGACCCAGATCCTTTATGAAGAGAAAAGAAAACTATATAAAAACTCTTGTAGCCATCAGAATTACATACATTTCTTTAACTAATAGAATAAAACGTAGTATAGGCTTGGTAATAACAATAATAATAATAATAGTCGCGTCGAATATAATGCAAACTGTTTTTGATTATGCATATAGGCCTATTACACGAAGATATGTATGCCGAGCCCGGCATCTTCCACAAGGTTGCAAACAAACATCAACCAATGTCATCACAAATGCTTTAAGCAAAATTACTGTAGAACCGTTTTACGCAACTTTCCCAATCGAGGAATATCTATATCTATAGATATTTATGCAATCCTAATATATATATATATATAGGTTCCATCGATACAATATATATATATATATATATATCGCAATAAATTTTGCACCGTGCATGTGGCAATGATCCAGCATCAACACAGATAGCATCACTGGAGGCGCCAAATGCGGACAAGCACCATTACGCTCAGTAGCGCACATGAGAAAACAGCAAAATGGCCTTATCGCTCCGTGCAGAGCATATTGCGTGAAACACTCTCTTACTGAAAATTCAGCAAGAATGCAGATGTTATAGCACGTTTTGCTGCTAATTTAGAGTGGACACAAATGTACTGAAAACACTAGGCAGAATGAGCATAGAAAAGCAGTTTGTTATATGTCGGTAACACTTTAGAATAGGGAACATTTATTCACTATTAACAACGACTTTTCCCTCGATAAATTCCTAATTTGCTGCATATTAATAGTTAGTAAGGTAGTTGTTAAATTTAGGTATTGGGTAGGATTAGGGATGTAGAATAAGGCATTAATATGTGCTTAATTAGTATTAATAAATGGCTAATATTCTAGTCACATGCATGCTAATAAGCAACTAGTTAAGAGACCCTAAAATAAAGTGTTACCGAAATTTCCATAAATCTTTGCGAGAATTTGAAGTGAAATTAAGTTCTCATAAAAAGACAATAACGATATTGAGATGGTATGCAATACCTTTATTTAGCATATTTACACATGAATTTATAAAAATATATAACTAAAGCTTTTTTCATATTTACATTAACAATTAATTACTTTGCTCACAAAGGGTTTATTTATTGTACACGTCTATGTAATGTATTGCCATTCCTTAAAAATGATTTTGTACTGATGCGTGATTTAGCTTTAAGACTTTACAATCTCAGTGTTGCATCCGCTATGCTGTCGCTGTCATAAATAGCATGTAGACAAACCCAGTATGACAGTATAATGGTTAAACAGCCAACCACCAAACAACGCAGCCTGGAGACAGTTATAGTTAGAGTAAAGAACAAAGTCGGATACATTCATTCGGCTTTACAGAGAACTTGTTCTCCGAGAGCGCTGGCCGCGGGTTCGAACAGCACAACACCGTCGAAAGATGTGCATTGGTTGAACTTACGGTTTGCTTTCTTGAAATACTAAACTGATGCAGGCTATCTGTGCTGTTACGAGGATGAGGCAGAAAGGCTGAGTCCGTGTATATTGCTCAAGGATTCGTGCTGCTTGCTTAAGGGACTCTGTGGTTTTCTGTCTCCTGCGGAGGACAAACAGGAGAACATATTTAGAGAGAAAACAAGTCGCAACTCTCCTCACATCCAATCACGCATTTTCTGTGCAAATCTATGGGATCGGGGCATGTTCAAAAAGACGATTCGATTTTCAAAAATTGGCCACTGTTACATTTCCTCTAAAATACATTTAATAAAAAAATTCTAAAATAGGCTAAACGCTTTTGAAATATACTTATAATTTTCATATTTACGTATTACAAATACTGGCCGTTTATTCAATAATGTATATTTATTTTGAATTTATAAAATGTATCGTTTGTTAAAGTAAGCTCATATATAACGCCTACAATAGTTAATCATAGACATGCATAGTCATTAATCATGGAAATGCATTTCATATAGGCCTATTAATGAGGCCAGTCATTCTGGTGAGCATATAGACCGCAACTGAGATCATACTACAATGCACGCTTTAAAAAATAAAGGTTCTTTATTGGCATCAATGGTTCTATGAAGAACCTTGAACATCCATGGCACCTTTCAAATGCAGAAAAAGGTTCTTCATAGTTGAAAAAGTGTCTTTAGATTTTTAAAATGTTCTTCAAAAATGGTTATTTTAGGAACTGTTCACTGAAAGGTTCTTTGGGGAACCAAAAATGGAAAAACACTGCAAAAACACCCTTTTGGAACCTTTATTTTTAAGAGTGTACTTACACCGCTCACTTTACCCTGCATGACCTCATTCTTTTAAGAAATGTTATGTGCATGCCTAATGGTTTTAGCCTATCAGGCTTTTATATAAAAGTTGGAACATGTATTTATTTATTTCCCCAGGTGTTGTTTCTAGCAATTAGAAAGTAAAGTGAATGATCATATAAATCTAATTATGGGCGTTTAAGAAGTGTATAAATATCTTAAAATTAGTCATTGAAAAAAAAAATACTTTAAAGTCAGTTAAGATGCCCGTGGAAAATTCGCTCTGTGAGCAATTATACTCAAATCTCATTGATAATGGACAGCAGTTGAAGTGTGACCGATATCAAAGTATGATTATGCATACCATGTTTGAACGCCATAGAAGAATGGATGTCACTCGGGTGCATCGCTACGCCACCGCCAGGGTGGGAGAGGCTGGTTCCCTGGGCTTGCCAGTGATGCCCTGGGCTCACATAACTGCCTGCCGGGCCACTGTACACGCCATACTGGTTGGAGGGAGAGTACGCGCATGCTGGGACATAACTAGACAAAGTCGACGAAGGCTGAAGAAACAGGAGGAAAAACAAGCACGTTAACAAAAAAACAAAACAAAAAAAAATATATATATATATAGTATACAAATAATACATGATAAGGTAACACTTTGTATTTCCGTTTTGTGGCTATATTACATATAAATAGGCGTGCAATAGAATTTGTTTAAGTGTATTAGCAGCTCTATAAAAACAAAATATAAAATTATATTTTAGGTACTTAATTTTTTATTACACAGTACTTATGTAATTACAAAATAACATGAAAGATAACTGTGACATCCAAAGTCATCCAAATGATTTATGAACAGAGTTTGTATCAGTAACAATAAAATAATTGCTACGATACCTGAGGGTATTTTATGTCTGCATCAATAGCTGATTTGTCTATTCCATTGACTCCATGAGCAGAGGGAAATGTCGCTCTATTCACACTACCCCAGTCCTCCATTTTTGGTGCGTATCCTTCAGCGCTAGCAATAGCTAGAAAAAACATTAAATGCATTTAACTTTCTCTTTTTGCTTTACTTTGCAACCAGCTAAATCAAAATTACTCCAAGCGGAATAAAGCATTATGGAATTAACCAATTTCAGCGACAGTATCCCTTGTAACTGAATGATTTAAACGACATATTTTAAACCATTCGACACAAATGTGCAGCACATGTAAAATGCATACATATTAAGCGAAAATTAATGCATACATATTTGCTTAAATGGATTTTAAATAAATATATTATCATCAGTTACTCCAAGTGACAATATATGGTACATATTCTCTTGTATAAGAACATATTCTAATACAGTATTTTCAACAACACGTTTTATTATAATTATGCACATTATAGTGAGATGTTATTATACTATATATTGGGTCGCTTAATGCGTGCATTTATTCGTTATAACTTACAACTGAGGAATAAAAACACAGCCTATTTATATACATAATTAATTAAGATTTATATATATATATATATACATATATAAAGCAATATAATTTGCTCAGTTTAGACTGAAAAATCATCTAAAAATGTTTTAGTCGTAAATATTATTTAACATGATTCAGTCAACATAAATACATAAAAATCATTTTATGGGTTTAATCAGGTAGAAACAGCTATTTAAGGTAACACTTTTTACAGTACCTAGAACCCGAAGGCCTAGTCGGTTATTCGTATGTGTGCAAGAATACGTCTTAATACTCTGTTTTCTAAATTTCATGTCAAATGTTTAATTTTAAAATGTATCTAACTTTATCTATGGCTCCAATGTTTGTAATAGGCTACACATTAGGTGATTGCATAGGCCTCTTCAATTTGCTTTGTGTAAGCATCGCAAATCAAGCTATAGAGAGGGCGGGGAGAGGTTTCCGATCTTGTTCCTTAATATCCGGCTGATAGAGCTGACCGAAGGAACATTGTACTTGTCACATACTGCGTCCGCGAGAAGACGGTCCCGGATCTCCCATGCAAAAATTCCCGGGTCTCCTTGTTTGTACTCCCGTATATTTTTTACTACATTCGGTGTAGTAACTCGTGGTTTGCTGCCACCGATTGCGCCCGGAAAAATGGACCCAGTTTCGTTGTATCTCGCAAGGATTTTACTCACACAGCCATGGGAGACCCGAAGCTGTCTGCTATGTAATGCACATTACAAAGAAACGTAGCCAACATAATTTATCAGCACACATGTTCCAAATAAGATCCAATGCAAGAATCGTTGTCACATGAATACTATATAGGGAAGGGTATTGACTGAATTCCAAAGGCCAACACTTTCACAGCATGCTCACAGAGTTTCCTGTGGAAGTAAAGAAGGTATAGTTTATTAGCTCACAAAATGTCACTTGTAAAAGTTTACTGACGACCCAATAGAACAAGAAGCGGTGTCACTATCCGTACATGTGTGTAGATCACAAGTCTCCAACTTCAACACATGGAGAACATCTTTCGAGCTCATCACACAACATTTGGGGGAAATGCTTAGGGTATTGTACCGAAATCAATGAGGAAAAGTCTTTAGTCTGCTGTTGTAGTGTGAGAACACAAGACAGAGTTTGCGGAGAGCCTATAAGCGTCACAAAGCAGTGCTATTATTAATAGACATCGGTATCATATAGCCTACGTGTTGTAACTATGCCCACGATTTGTGAAATAGGGTATCGTTGCCATGTCAAGGTGAGCGTTGTGCGTCAAAATTAAACCCTTCAAAAAACTCCCACAGGTTTAAGTCGTGGTCAAAACTCGTTAACAAGGGGCATATTGAGACCAGAGAGCCAAAAGTCTCCCTCCTCTGGATAAATTAGGCAATTACACTTTGTAGTCAGATTTTGTGGATACACAATGAGGTTAGCAGGGGAAAACGGCTATCGAAATTTGCTTCACGAGACCATTTGGGAAACATGCAGACGACGAACTCACTTCATTGGTGTCTTGCACAGGATTCTCAGGTAGACTATGCAGGTTCATCGCACAGAGTTTTACCGACTTTATTTCAATGGAAATATATTGTAAAGAAGATAAGTGCAAAAGATTGCAGCCCATTGCTATATGACGGCTGCTGTAATGCATATCGGTAATTCCACCTTGTTTTAATTTGTAAAAATCTTGAATCGTTTTACTGATGTGAAATGGGATGGTGGCTTCTTCCAAAAGCATGAGATTGGAAGAAGGCTATTTACATCAGCTCGATTTAAGACTCGGTTACCTGAGAGGGAGAGATAAAAAACTAAAACTTCTAAACATAAATTCAGATCGGGACTTTCTTTCTTTCTTTCTTTCTTTCTTTCTTTCTTTCTTTCTTTCTTTCTTTCTTTCTTTCTTTCTTTCTTTCTTTCTTTCTTTCTTTCTTTCTTTCTTTCTTTCTTTCTTTCTTTCTTTCTTTCTTCATGACTTGAGACGTAATTTAGGGGCCGATATTACAGTGGTAATAGAGTTGACTTTTTTATCCTTACAGTTCAAATGCAGCACAATAATGACAATTCAACATAACGAACGTGCATGTTTATAATACATAATTTGACATCCTTCTTTGCTATCAGGCTTTATTCATTTGTGAAAAATATTTCATGAAGTTTGTATTTCGCTAAAAATAAGTCTGTACAGTCCGCTGCAATGTTTTTAAATCTCTTTTATGAGCATAATATGTCAAATTGTAATATTATTTTTGTCAAATATTATACATAATTAATTTAAGGAACTATTTAATGTGAGTTGCGCTTTTGTTAAAAATAGTGATGATAGAATTTTCAACAGGACAAGAAACCCATCTTTGTGGCGTTATTGTCTAATTCAGTGGATCATGTCGTTTTAAATAAGAAAGTAAACAGAACCGCCAACTTTTTCACCCCCCTCAGTAATCACACAGTTTAACCTTGTTGACACCTGTATATGTCCAAAGCTTCTCGCATTCATTTAGAAATAAAATGGACCAACAAGTACTGTCAGGTCTTTGTGGTTTGTTGGTTGTATTCAAAGGCTTGTTTATATAGCTAATACCTGGTCCTGTGACAAATACAGTTTCATTCTTAATGCCGCATTATATAAATAATCAGAAATTATTAAATAAACGCGTTAAACTGGCGCCTGTACAGCATGTTCTCAAACTGAATATCTGTTTATGTTTATATAGTCTAGTGTGTATGTATTGTTGATTATAATTTCACAACACACCTACTCCCGTCAAATAAATTAAATAAACTAACTATCTGCTATCATTATGTGCCGGTCATTTTCACTCTTCCAATTCACAGATAAAGACCGATATGCTTTAAGATAGTACAGCCCATGATAGGAGAATAGGACGATACAACGTGTGCTCTCTCTCCCATTATCTGGACTCTGCCAAACTGAAAATATAACTTATGTCTGGTTTGGTAAAGACATTTAAACACATATCTAACAGGTCGTTGACGTAGTCTTCCATCGCTTTTATAACCTAATATAAACTACATTTATTATGAAAATCTGTCTAAAGTCGAATTATCGCTTGTACTATTTTGTGATAGTAAGCTCTAACTCTTCTTATGATAATAATAATACATTGTTAACACAGCTTGGGGGGAAATGTTAAAGAACACTTATTCAATATATACATTACTTTATACCAGCAAAACAATTGCAGATTAACACTTTTTTTTCGGTGAATTGCACTATTTTTTCAGTGTGCATACGCACAATCAAATGTCTATCGTCAGTTATGTATTTCCAGTTATGATTATCAAAGCTATAAAATGTGTAGCTATCGCAATGATAAATATGACTTTGGTATTAAAACGTTTAAATCACGGATGCGCACGAAATATAATCTGATTTTATATGAACTCAGTTTTCTTTTATCCCTGTATGGACCGTCTATGGGCGGTTTTATTAAAGACCCGTTGTGGCTAAGGTTTTGATTTAGTGTTTGTGAGTTTTGTGATCTCATTGCTATGTATGGAAATTATTAGACTAGGCCTGGACTGCGTGCTGTCAACAGATGAGAATCAACATGGGGTGAAGAATACAAAGACTATAACTGTACGAAATAGAATCTATAATTCATACCGAAGATCCATAGGGTCACCCTGAGAGCTTTTAAAATCATGTATACTCTTAAAACAGACAGCTTAGTAGCAAACAATAAACAATACTCTTTGGACATATTCATAGCATAAAATAAATTAAATGTGTCTTACGTTTATATATATATATCTGGAAACTTCCAGAGACTTTAAATACATAGTGAGTTTGCCGCTGTTGTGTGCATGAAAGTGGGGCAAACAAAAGGAGCGCTCCAAAAATGATAGATGCAGAATCTTAATCATTGACATCATTCAATTTTCCGACAAAGTAATTACGAACATTATCAGACTCTACATAGATGGCAAAAGACAAAACCTGGACTGACGACATCAGCTTGTGAAAGGCCTTTGCATTGGAAAAGTTAGGTGATACCGTATAAAGAGAAAATGTGTTTTCACACACACACACACACACACACACATATATATATATATATATATATATATATATATATTTTTATTTTTTTGTGATCCACAGCTGAAATTTGAGTTTTGTAGTGTTATGAAATGCCTTGTATATTTAGGTGTGGGTGAAAATCATAATAATTTAAACACTGTCTCTTACTCTAATATATTATAATTACTATAATATAGGCTACTTATAACGGAAGACGATAGAACTATCACACTTTTGGAAGTGTAACCAGTAGCACCGGTTACATTAAAGTGGTGGCTTTCTCCAGTTCTGAAGACGGTGACTAAGCAAGCTTGGTTCGGAATGTGAATAAGATTGCAAAATCGGATTGGATTAATTTGGATTGACGAAAATTACAAAACTTTATTTGGATAGTGCACTTTATTCTGCTACTATAAGATATTATAACTTTGCAATGTCATGGGGTTTCACGACTAATCGAAATTAAACTGCAGTCGCGATTAGGCAAACTATTTTTTTCATGCGCAGCTTGTCAGTGGAGCACGGTTCTGTGATCAGTAGTAAATACTGCTCCATCCGAAGACCGGAGGGCACTCTCGTGGTGAAACTCCAAATATGCAAGAAAAGATAAAGCCT